TGTGTGTGTGTGTGTGTGTGTGTGTGTGTGTGTGTGTGTGTTCCACTCTCTATGAAGTAGTAGTAAATAACCAGAATTATTATCTACCATAAAAAGAGGGGGAGAACTTTAAATCCTGATAAATCCTGATTCCATGGAAGGACAATGTCTGATGGTTTACACAGAGTTATCATAATTGGAAGAGAGATACTATTACCCACAGAGAAAATCTTTAGGGCTTTGTCTCACAAAACCTTTACTAGTGAAATCAGTCTTGTATTGGATGAATATCATTCAATAGTGAACAACAGAAAAAAAGTAGCTTTCTAGGTTAATACAAAGAAAATTGAAAAGAAAATTCTTATGGTTAAAATGGATTTTGCTTTAGTAAATTCTCTTATGTTTTAAAACTTCAACCATCAATTTTAAATATTGGAATGTATGTCCCAGAGGTATTTATTACAGTATTTATAATTAAAGGAAATTGTAGGGAGTATATGTTCCATATAAATTACATAAAGATGTAGAATTTAGTATTTACAATAAAATATTTTTTGCCTAAAATCAGTTATCAATGTTCATTCAAAATGCTAAATACATTGGTATAAGTCCAGTAGATAGTTGGAATTAAAGGAAAATTTTGGAAAGTAAAACATGATTAAGTGATATATAGACATTTTATCCTGTAAATTAACTCCTCTAATCATTTGTATGTTTGTGTTAGGAATGAAGAAGACATAAAAAAATCAATTAAAAGTACATTACCTGGACTGGGAAATAGTTCCTTGCAACAGGTGTTTGCCATTAAGCTTTAGTACTTATTATAGATGTTGGGACCCATGTAGTAAGTGGATCAAGTGGTCACTTGGAAGTTGATTTTGTCCTCCACAGGAGCACTATGCTGTATACTTTTTACATACACACATATACAGATACAGACAGACAGAAAGACACACATACACACAGAGACAGACATTGCAAATGCTCAACTATACCTTCTTCAAATTTAGATTCTATTAGCAGTGATATCAAAAATGAATGTGCTAAAGTTAAAAATGGTACCCTTTAAAATACTGTGAACACATTTTGGTCAACAAGAAGACACATGACTTTTCTGGTTGGTCTGTACAAACATCATGTGGAAGATGAATTTTGAGACAAGTCTTCTTGTGCTAATGCTAGAAATTCTTTCCCAGTGGCTTTCCCTACTAATGGTGATGATGATGACAAGATCATTGGAGGCTACAATTGTCCAAGGAATTCCCTTCCTTACCAGGTGTCCTTAAATGATGGCACTGGACACCAGTGTGGTGGCTCCCTCATCAGTGACCAGTGGGTACTGTCTGCAGCCCACTGCTATAAGGGAAGGTAAGGGAACAATACTCAAATTCCTGTAATCTAAGGTACAACAATCTAAGGTAGTCCTCTCTCACTGCCTCCTAGGAGATAGATAGCCCTTTGAGAATCTGTACTGACAGGAAACAAACTAAGGAATCCTCTATCCTGCACATTGGTGTCAGGGCATAATACTACCTTAACTTCATAGTCTTTAAAGGTTTGGATGCTTTAAGAAGATTGTGTTTATATTTTTATTCTCTGAACTTTGAGCTTGGAAGAGAAACAGTTCAACAGGGATGCTAAGAAATCCTTAATCTTTTAATGCAGGAAACTTCAGGTTCGCCTGGGAGAACACAATATTAAGGTACTTGAAGGCGGTGAGCAATTCATTGATGCAGAAAAGATAATTCGCCATCCCAAGTACAATGATAAGACTGCAGACAATGACATCATGCTGATTAAACTGAAGTCACCTGCCGCCAGAAGCTCTCAAGTGTCCACAATCTCTCTGCCCACATCCTGCCCAGTTACTGGTACTCAGTGCCTTGTGTCTGGCTGGGGAAATACTGTGAACTTTGGAGGTAAGTGTCAATGGAATGTAAGTTCCATGTGTACAGACATGAAAGATGAAAGGTCAACATGGATGCTCAATATGGATGCAAATCCTCACCGTGAGCCATGCTTCCAGAGTTTTCCACTTGAGCAGTCTTGGAATGTACTATTTGGAGTCTAGAAGATTGCTTTCCTGAGACCATGGGGAAAACTCAGTAAGAGTGAGCTATTGGCAAGATGCTGAGGTGTTTAACTGCTGTAACCTATAACGAAAGGGATGTGATACAAGAAAAGAGATGCCCAGGATGTGTTGTTCCCTGAGGTATCTATCTCTTGGAGAAAACACTG